TGGACATCTTTCAATGTCAAAGGGAAGTAAGCATGATGTGTCTTTCATCTGCTGCATTAAGTTTCCTTGGCCAACCACTGCATCTACAGTCCTCAGTGTTGCCTGTTTCTTTGTGCTTCTTCAAAAGAGCTTGAACAGCACATCTTCAAACCCCTTTGAAATTTTTGCCTGGGAGAGACCTTGCTGATGCAGTACAACTACCTTGTGTCTTGTTGCTGTGCTCAGTCTTGCCATGGTGTATGACCTGTGACATGAAACTGTCTTCCACAACCTCACCTTAGTAGCAGAGTTTGGCTGTTTCTCACCCAGTTTTTATATATTTTTGAAAGCATTCTTACTTTACAGCATTTTTTCACACCTGCCTAAAACTTCTGCACAGTACTGTATGTGGCATAGGTTGTGTGTATATGTGTGTGTGTGTGTGTGAGAGAGAGAGAGAGAGAGAGACTCTGCCTAGGAGGTAGGAGGTAGGAGTGGGAGGGAATGGGGCAGAGAGGATAGGCAGTAACATTGAGACTGTGATGGGCAGGGGTAGATATGGTGGGAATCTGAAGGCAGGTTCCACATGAAGACGCCAAGGACACTGCATGAGAATGATCCTGATGTCTGGCCTTCAGCACTCTTCCTCTATACTAAGTAACCGGATCCTCGATGGTCCTGGGCTCTGGGTGATGTTTTTGAATGCCAGATCAGTCTGTAATAAGTCTGCCCTCATCTGTGATCTTATTATGGGGGGTATGTGGGGTGGCTGTTGTCATCCACAAGTCACTGAGGGCTCTTAGAGGCACTACTCCACAGATGTGAGGCCCTAGGGAACAGTTGAAGTTGGGCTCTAGGGAACAGTCGGGCTTGCTGTTGGTGTACTGCCCTCCCTGCTGCCCGACATCATCCCAGCTTGAACTGCTATATTCTGTTGCTGGGCTCGCAATACTAATACACGCATTCTTGCCATGTTACTATGAAATAATTCAGGATCATTTTTGTAGGCCCATAAAGAACTAAAGAATAAGAACTAAACTTCTAATATTGTCAGGTTAAAAATAATAAAATGCCCATAAGTATCAATATATATTTGCACTATTATTCCATTAACTTCTTTCCTAACTAACAACATGACTCCAGCTGCATTAGTGCTATATGCACTATTTGGGGGGGATTTTAGACTGAACCCCAATTTTAAGTTTACCATTTAGTGAAATGATTTAGCAGGCTACACTGTAAACTTTGGAATCCACAGCCATGCTTAAAGTAATAAGACAATAACAAGATAAATGAAAGTGTTAAGCAGAAATACTAAAGGCATTATTACATATTTGCATTTTTTCCACATAATGAAACATGGGAGGATGGTGCTTAGGTTTTCCCAAATAATTCCCCAAATAAAATTGGGAATGAGTTGGGATAAATTATTCCTCTCTCTCCAGACCAACTCAAGATGAATTTTCAAGCCGATGATCTGACTGTGAACCAGGTCGAATTGTTTTTGCATATCCCTCATATATATTATTTTCTATGCATGAATTATATTTGTGCAGGGAATTGTTCAGATGTAAAATGGCATCTCTGTTTACTGAAATAATCTTGTGAGAACTAGAATAATGAAAGGATGTGATTGCAACAGTCACTTCCATAAATGAAGTTTTTAAAAAGAATTGACTTCTTTTTACCAGGCAAAAATGATGCTATGTATATGCACAAAATATTGGGCTTAAGTTTGAGGCTTGGATTTTAAAAAAATAATTTCCATCCTGATTTTCTCTCTCTCTCTCTCTCTCTCTCTCTCTCTCTCTCTCTCTGTCTCTCTCTCTCAGGTTATGAATGTAGTATAGAGCATATTTTGGTGGTGTCCAGAGTAGATGTTGTGGAAAAATGGAAGAAAAGGAAAGAAACTAGAGTGAAAATAGCATGACTTCAGGGATAGAAAGTATAAGTATAAAACAATAATGTCACAGAGCACCATAAAAGTGTGTAGAGTAGACAGTGCAGAGCCTATCTTGGATGAATATTTTTCAGCCAGATGTTGCAGTATTAGAGCACCATGATAGCTAGTCCTTTATATTTGCACATTCACAAAACCTGTAATCTTCAGCTTTTCTAGGCCTATGACTCACATTTAAAGCTCTAGTCTAGAGTCCACTTTTAATCCTTTATAACATATGTCCATCTTTTTTGTTTTCTTTCCACAGTGACTAATTGTAAAGGGAAGCAGGAATTCTGTAAAAGAGAGAATACTAACAAATGTATCTTTTCATCCCTACCTGTATGTTATGTTACATTACTGAAAATTCCATCTCCTGCATAACAGTTAAAGGTGCAAAACCACCTATCAATCTTTATTATCTGATCATTCTTGCTGGCTTTTTCATTTACTGTTTAAAAAAATCATAAAATCCTGCACTTCTTCACAGTAGAAGACAAATTAGATATATAGCTGATTTCTTAAGAGTTCCACGAACTATAAGATTCTGAAACATACCTACAACCCCCTTAAATTTATTAATGTAGGCTTTAAATGATTCATTTAAATTATTTTGTTTTCTGCTTCATTTAAAAGATCACCTGAAGATTTGCCCTAAAAACAGGCTCTTTGAAAAATTCAAGAGGTGCTTCACTTTAATCAAGCCACTGACAAAGCACCCCTTTAACGCAGTTTTGCAAAGCACAGTTGTGTCCCCCTTTTAGAAAAGTCAAAACAGCCATTGTGCTGGCCTTTCATGGCATTCTGCATGAGAGCACATTTCCATCAAAATGAGGTGGCCAGGCAGAGCAAAGTGGCTGCCGTTGATACTTTGATTGAAGGCACCAAAGGAGAGCACCTAATTTTTCTGAGTTTTGTTGCCACTTTCCAACAAAAGCAAGGACCCTTTCCTCCTTTTTTTCTTTATAACCTACCTCATTTTGTCTTGACTTTTTTTCTCATTATTGGGATTTTGACTTGTTTTTTTTGCTTAGTCTTGCACTTTTGCAGAAACACTTCTTGCAGCAAAACAGACAACCCTTCACTGAGATGAACAGGAAAAAGAATGCTGCAGCCAGGAGGGAGGCAATGACATCAATGGAATAGTACTGGATCCAGTTGAGGTCATAAGCTGCTGGTCGCAAATGGGGAGCTCCCTTGTGCTTCATGACAAACTCTATCCAATGTACTGCAAGATCAAGAGGTTCAATGGGTCTGTCTAAGTGAAGAGCTGAAAGATGCTGAATGTTCTCTTTATACCTAAATAGTAAGATTTTAATTAAAACCTTCTCCAATAACAAAATAAAATAAAATACAAAAAAAAAAGCATGGTCCTCTTCATATGGGGGGTATGTGTGCATGTATCTGTGCATATATAAAGTCTCCCAGTTCAATTCATGGACACATCAATATGGTTTTCTTGGCAACAATAAGGAAATAGTTTTCCACTACTTCTGGGATGTTTTTTGACTTTCCAGGCTAGGCTAGTCTACAGCCCTGGGATTTCCTAGTAATCTCCTATCCAAGTACTAACCAAGTCTGACTATGTTAGTACCATAGCCCAGACAAGATTAATCAGGTGCTGTTTGTATAGAGGTTTTGTGAATTTTATGGTGCTGTATTATTACTTGTAACCTAACCTTTTAATATGAGAGCCAATTTGGTGTGATGGTTAAGACTAGAAATCAGGAGACTATAAGTTCTAGTCCTGCCTTAGGCACAAAGCCAGCTGGGTGACCTTGAGCCAATCACTCTCTCTCAGCCCTAGGAAGCAGGCAAGAGCAAGCCACTTCCAAAATCTTGCCAAGAAAACTGCAGGAACCAGTCCTGGCAGTCACCAGGTGTCAAAATTGACTCAAAGGCACACATACAACCCTTGATCACTTACATAATAAAGTCAGTAATATGGAGTATCAGCTGGCCACAGTGGTTTGCCAGCAAGCCAGGCATCACTGCAAAATATGATAGCATGGATTGATACTGAGTTCACTATCAAATAAATAACTGTAGCTTTTGATAAAGTACAGCACCACTGAGAAAAGGGCCTTTGGCAAGCTAATTTATTTATCAATGCATTCTTAGGTTTTCCAAAAAAAGGCCCTATAATTCTGGAATTTGAGAGATAGTCTTGATTAACATGGACCACTAGAGTGACTTGTGTTTCTTCATGGATGTACTGGGTAGCTAAGAATGCACTCTAGAACACACATCAAACTTTCCTGCAACTATAACAGGGAAAAATATGCTGGAACAAAGAAAGCTTTGTTTTTTAGGGAATGTTGTCTACCATTATGGATCTTCTCATTGTTGATATTTCAATCAGTCTCTGACTTTACAGACTCATAGAACACAGTTTAATAACTACCACTTTAGAGGATCCAATCCATGTGAATAACTATTGCAATAATTACAGAATAACATAGTGGCCCTTTCAGGATATTCTATTATTTATCTCCTCTAAGTAATCCATATCTGTAAGTAGAAATGACTATGAGAAACCCTACCACCATCCCTTCTACTACTCACCTTTTATCATAAATAACAGTCCTCAGTGCATTAGACAGGTCCTTTGATGTCATTTTAATTGCATCCAGTTTCACTCCTGCTCCTCGAGACTCTATTCGTACTGCATTGTCTGCTTGATCTCCAAAAAGTGGTATTAACACCATTGGCACTCCATGGCAAATCCCCTCATAGATCCCATGGGAGCCCGCATGTGTAATAAAGGCTCTGGTTTTGGGATGAGCTGTTCAAGGAAGATAGGTGGAGAAAGACAAGCATGCTTATTTTTCTGCTAGTTATGAAGCTAGGTAACCATATATGAGGAAATTGCATTGTTATAAATGCAGCCACATAAATCAAAGGGTAATTGTTAAAATGTTAATCTGTGAATAACAACTATTCAAGAATGATGAGGAGAGACTTCTTGCCTTGGCATAATCCTCAACACTGGATGTTGAGGTACAGCCACACACTGCTACTCCATATGTGTGTATAGCTTATGTGTGTATAACTTGTCCTCTGGGACATCTCTGGAGCAGAGTATAAAGGCCCTCTCTCTATCACTATCCCAGCTGCTTGTTTATTTCAGATCTCAGCTCTCCTCAAGTGTAGAAAGCAATCTTTTAATAATGGTCTCAATTTCTTGTATTACAGCACAGAAGGAACAACCTGGGCGTTTTTATGTAATTAAGTTAGGAATAGACATGAACGAACAGAAGGATTTTAACTCTTGGAACTTCTTCAGACAAAATCTAGCATAGCCTATCCAAATCTATGTATTTTTTAATGCGTTTTTAACAAGCGCTGAGCAATAAAAGGAAAAAAAAAAGAATGAAATGCCAAACTAGATAAACTATAGAAGTCACCTACCCACTCACCCATTCTTTTTTCCTGAAAAAGGATTGAGAAGGAATACTAATTATTTTCCCCAGGAACAGGCATTTTTATGCTAGGTGATAGGTGAGCTCCCCAAATTTGTCTGAAGAAAGGAGAAAAATGGGCCATTTGATCAGTTTCAGCTCTGAATATATTTGTACTCTCTTGCAGGAGCAACATGATAAAAAAGCCAGAGCAGGTCTGGTGTTAGAATATTCAAGAATTTCCTTAGCTCTTAAAGGATAATATTGGTACAATGTTCCATGAAGAATGATTTCACTTTCCAAAGAAAGATTTTTTGGAGTGGGAATAGGTCCATCCAAGTTTGCATTACTTTATAGCATTTGGTATTAGCTGATGGTGGGTAATACATATAAAGTTACTTACATATACCTATGTTTAGCACCATAAGGAAATGGAAGCAAAATCAAAAGTTAATTAAAAGCAGAGCCCCTTAATTTTTGACCCAAACTTACCAAGTAGATCATTTTGCGGAAGCCAATTAAACAGCTTTGTATTATTCGCAAGGTTGACTGGAGCTTCACCAGTATATCTCCACAGCACCTTTGTAGAATAGAAAATATAGAAAGTGGATGAAGAAATATATTTATTACTATTTCATATTTGTAGAAATCTGAACTAGTTAATCTATTACATTTTAATCTACAAGAAAGGTGCGCCTGATAAACACCATTTTAACAGATATTGTCAAATATTCACAATGACTTCAGTTGACAAGCATATATTTAGAACTGCAGAACGTATGTAAGCTGAAAGGGGCCTAATCCAGTCTACCCTCTACTCCAGGCCTCCACAACTCATCAAGGGGAATGGGCCACATTAATAAAATAAAAGCCCTCATGGACTGTAAGGAAATACTGGATGTGCCAATCAGCTGTTCCATTGCTAGCAGAGTGGCGGAAGCACTAAAGCCGGTGGTGGCAATGCTCCCTCTAAATTTACTACTTTTTAAAAAAATTTGGGCTGTGACTTCTGGGGAAGAAATGGCAAACTGAAGATAGCTCTGCTAAAACGGAGCCAACGACTGTGGCGGAATGAAGAGCCAGTGAGTAAGTCAGCTCTCTGTAATTCCTCTCTGGACAAGGAGAGGGCTTGAGATCACCCACAATGCTCCAGGCAGTTGCTCCTCACAAGGAGACCACAAGACAGTGGTCTCCAGTGGGTTCAGAGCTCTGGGAAACAAGGGAATAGCCATCTTGCTCAAACTGAGGTTGATGCCTTTGAAAGGACACTAAGTTTGCATACTTCCTTTTCTAATCACTTCAGTAATTGCTTGTTAACTGCTTTTCAGCTATGACGAACCTTTGGATCAACAAGTTTTACAGCACCAGGTGAGTTTCCTTCAATCCTTAGTGAAAGAAATTTTAAATACAAGTTTAAGGACTTTAAAATATATATTTTTTTGGAATAAACAATAAAAGGGTTATTAGAACTTTGATTTTGGAAAGTTACAAATGGACTAAGGATCCAGATGAATTTGAAATATGATTTTGGAATTAATTATAAGAATACTTCCTGTGGGAAAATGCTTTTGTTTTGAATTCTTTAAAAAAAAATGATAAGATGAGACTGAAGCTTGGACACTAGAGATAACTAGAAGGAATTAAAGATTACAATTAAAGGAGAACACTGGATGGAGCAAAATATTTTAACATTGGGCATATTGAAGGATATTTTTTAACAATGGACCCAGAAGTTAATTTTAAGAGTGTCTGCCTCTACAGA